CAATTTATTTTTTATTGGTCACACACCAACCAATTTATTGGTCACAATCAACAAACCATCTGTGACCACCACTAACACAACACCACCGTCGTCTCCACCGTCAATACCATAGAAACACACCACCGCCACCACATAAACCACCGCCGCTGCCACCACCAACACCCCAGCAACCACGGGTGCTCTTGGGTATCTTCTGCGTGTGCTTCGATGGATTCGTCGCCACTAGGATGATGTTGCAGCATCAGATGAGGGGACTGAATCTGACGATGCTGCTAATGCTGATTAGTTTTTGGATACCCTTGTCATTTTGTAACAAAAATGAGGAGTAGATATTTTGATGGAGTAGATATGAGTAGATATTCTTGCTTTAACAAGATGTATATATTTTTATCTACTTGATATATCTAAAACATTTGATTCTTATTATATGATAAATTTTCAGTTTTTGCTAAATTACGTTTTGATATTTTAGTAGTATCAATGTTTCGTTTTGGTATGTTGGGTTACATTGATATTGCATTAATTTAGCATATGATGTGAAACTGAAAAGTTTCATTATGAATTATTAACTGCTTAAATAACTTTTACACCGGGAACTGCTGAAACTATTTTTACACTTAATACTGTTTCACATACATTTTACATTGCGTATTTGAATTATCTATTTCAGGAATCAGGTATTGAAAAATGAAATATAGAATTCGTTCAAGACAGTTGTTGGTTGTGTTAGTTGATTTGAGTCTATAATTTTAATTTACTACTGTCTTGACTTAGATTGTAATTTTTTCACAGAATGTCAAAGGGTGAGCTTGTTAGGTATTTAATGTAATTAGTAAATCTGTGAACAAAAAAAACTAAAATTGATATGTTGTAAACAGTCAAGGAGTAGTGTGCAATTAGTGAAAGTTATGATATTTTAGGTTTAGGGTTCGAGAATGGGAAATAAGGAAAAACGGCACGAAATTTCGCTAGCTTCGAGCATTAGAACAGACACTTCATTGCTCAACCGTCGCCTCACCTTCGCTCGAGCGACAACTTGTCGCTCGACTGTCGTTGAACCTTCGCTCGAACGACAGTGTCATTAAGGAAATTTTTATTTCATTTTTTAAAAATTTTTTGTCTGGCTCATTCATTCCCTAACCTCATATAAATATCCAAACATTACAAAACAGTTTCACAGGGTTGATTATTGAGAGAAACACATTCCATTGAAATCATCTTCATATATTTTGTTTTCAACATTCGTCATGTTATTGACTTTTGGTAAGAAAAATATCGGATTCATAATCCAAATACCAAACTGCTGTTTCTTTGATATTTGTGAGAGTTTCTGAAGATCAAGGGAATGATTGACCTCAAGGTCAGCAACTTCAACGCGATGTTCTTCGTACATCCACAGGAGATAGTCGATTTCACAAAGTTAGGAGTTGCTGTGGGATAGCGCAATCCAATATAGCTTTGGAAACTGTAGCTAGGAATTGGTGCAGGAGCACAGAATCCAGGAGAGATGTTGGAACTACAGTCAGGAGATCAGATAGTACGTGTTATCGTCTAATCTAGTAGACTGTAAGTTATAAATCGTTTATAGTGGATTGTTGACTGGTACAGTGCCCAAAGTTTTTACCCAATTGGGTTTCTCCGTGATCAATTATTGTGTTCGTTTATTGCTTACTTAACTGCGGCATTTCAACATATGAATAATTGAATTGCATGCTTAACCATCTAGAGAATAATTAATAGTGACTTGTTGTTATTTAATTGTTAAGTAATTTTTAATTCCGCATTATCACTAATTCATCCCCCTAGGTGTTGTTATGATCGAACTACGTATTTTCAATTAACATGGCTAACTTGGAAAGAAATATATAACATAGTACAAACCTAGTAATACATTTTCATTAGCCTTTGCATTTTGGTCTAGTCTATATATTATATGCTCATTTGTCAATTTGAACACATAAGTGCATCAGTGAATTCAAATGCGTTACTCACCTATAGATTCTTTCTTTTGTGTCCAGAGAATTGGATCAAAGAGAGGTAACTTGTTTATCTCCGAAACTCAAGTCGACTTATGTAGTGGTCCGCATATGCGTTTATTATTGATTTCACTAAGTATTTTAAAAACTACAAGTGTTTTAAGTCATGAAATTTCATCAATTAAAATAATATCCACTCGTGATTAAAAAAATTTATTGAGGGAATCAACCTTTAATTCATTTTAGAGTCCCGTGATCAAATAATTTAATATTATAATGAAGAATTAAATGTCACAGCTTCACATGTTAGGATTGCACCTATGTTTAATGTAACACCATATGAAAATATTGACACTGAAATACAAAATTGCTTTGAATACCAACACAAGTGTGACTTTTTAGA